TAAAACATTTAAATCCTAATTATATGTCGTGTCTAAACGAAGAATAGTTGATTGGCACGACATTGTATTTGGATGGAGGTTATATATGTATTTATGATACCGCGATATAAGCTTGAGTCTTAGGATTATTGGTTAGGGTGCGTATATGCAATGGATACGTAGCTGGCTATAGTAGGTTGAGGTGTACCCTGTTAGGTCTAGGTACTCATGCCCACCTTTGGGTGCGTTTTCGCATGTTGCCTTCTATTCAGGTTGAGACCCCTACTGTAACTCAGTGAATGTCCTTTAGTGTGGATATATATATTTTATGGACTATATAGATATGCTTGAGACATTTATGATGTATCTGCATATCGGGTCTCTATTTGGATTGTAGTTAGGATAGAACTTGTTCGTGGGTCTGATCCACTATTATTTTTTCAGGTATCGGACAGTTGCAGGTTTTAGAGCTTGTTCATGCTGAGTAGAAACGGTCACTCATTCTTCCGACGACGTAGGAGTTTCTTCGGGATTTAGCATTGGAGTTCTTCAGTTATTGATTTCAATGTTGCAGTTTATTAGGGGTCCACCAGATGGATTCCCGAGTTATATTAGAAATGGAGAATTTAGATGTATCAGAATAATTCTTTATTAATAAAATTTTATTCTGAGGTTTTGGTATTTGGATTATCATTCTAGTTTCTTTTCAGCAATTTATTTATTCCTATTTTCTTAATTGTATTCTGTGTTTGTTTATTGCTAATTGGTTTGATATCCTCGGGTAATCGGGCGTGGGCCTGGCCAACCCACATCCGAAAATCTAGGGTTATCACATTCTTTATCCATCTCATTGGTGTTCGATCAATTGCTCACGCATGGTAACCCACTAATATTCAACTCATCTTTATCAATTATTTTTCTGGATCAAAGTAACAAACCTCTCATCTTCATTCTTCATATTCCCCTTTACTCTTTACCGGGCTTAAATTAAACTCCTTCACTCTTCACACCCCATGCCCCATCTTGAGAACTAGCACCATTCTTGGCTTGTCCTCAAAACTTGTTCCTCTTGGGCTTCATCTCTACCACCTTTTGCCTCATCTTGAAAAACGAGCATCATTCGGCTTGTCCCAAGACTTGTTCCTTATGAGCTTCACACCATCACCTTATTCATACCTTTGTGTCATCATCAACTCTGATTAAATCTCCATAGCACCTCACGATCATCTTCTGCTCTTACAAACTTTGCAGCAATCTTCTTTTATTGATCTTCAGGACGAATCACAGGCTCTGACCAACCATCGGCTCTGATACTGGTTGTTGGGGATAATTAACTCCCTCTAACCCACTTAACGGTCGGCTGTTGTTGAGAGTTAAATCCCCCTTTCATCACACACAGCGGAAGCATCATCACATCACATCAATATAAGCATTTATAGAGATAACAATCACACACACCCACGCATAATAAAATATTTTACATAGTTTACCTAACTCTAGGGTTATGTCTATGGGAGAAAGAGATTTAACTATTATGAATCAAGGAAGAAAATATACAACTGCACGTCAAAACCCCACTCACTCACTCCTCATCTCTTTTGAGACCATATGTATACACTCAGAAATTACACATACTCTCCCATCTCTTCCCCCTACAACTTTCTCTCTTCTCTCTCTCTCTCTAAATCTCTTACACCCATCTCTATTTATACCCATCTCTATTTATAGAGTCTTCAAACCTAATTTTTTGTTGGACAAATATTCCTTAACTTGCCTACAAGGAGTTACCATAATGATCAAAACTCTAAAATAGAAACATATATAATGGGATACAATTTACTCTAATAATTTCAACCTTCTAAAACGAAAAAGGAAACTAATTTTCTGCACATGAATTTTGAGCCACAAATTCAACAACTTCCCCACTCACCTCATGTAGCTCCACTTTTGGTATTCTTTCAGCACACGCGTCTGGCATACTATGTGCTTTACCTTTTGAAGACATGGAAAAAAATTTTAGCATTAGACTTGTTGATCTCCGCTTCAGCCTCTATCTGTCCAACGAGAGCTATAGCAATTGTTTTAGCAATACACTCACAAATCCAAAAAAAATTGAAGACACTATAGTGAAAATGGCCTTGCCAATGACTTTCATATAAAGTACGTTACAACAGTATAAGTTAATATGTGTTAGCTAGGTAGTTAAGAAGGGCTCATCATGTAATTCTGTAGATTTTGGTTCCCGATTAGTCTCAATGTCAGCCGAAAAGTAAGAAATTGAAAAGATAAATTAAAATAAATAAATAAATAAAAATTGAAGCTTAACAGAAAAAAACGACGAATAAGGTGTTAATTGCCACTGATGTTGTTTAAGCATGGCTTATGAGCTCAAGTACCATATGAATCTTCTTATAGCTACTGATGTGAATTCTTTCCTTTTGATGTGGGGACTCGAAAGGATCCAAAGAAGTGGAAAAGATGGGAATCATAATATTAGAAGATAATGTTCAAAGTCCTCATTTCAAACCTCCATTACATGTAATTTGGTGTTTTGCAACAAAACTTTTTGTCACTAAACGCGAACAATTTGTTGAAAAAACCTTTTAGCAATAAAAAAATTTTGTGGCAAGGTCGTCCCTATAAGCTCGTCACAAAAGGTTTTATGCTACAAAAACTTTTGTCCCAAAAAGGATCTTCTTTTGTGACAAGAAAATCATTTGTCAATTGTTGCAAAAGATATGACAATTAGCAACAAATAATTTGTCCCTATTTTTGCAAAAATTTGTTACTTAATACAACTCCATTCCAAGGACTTTTGTTGCTAAATATAGAATAATTTGCAGCAAAACTAATTTTATCTCTAAATATATGACAATTTGCAACAAAAAATAGATTGTTTCTAAACCTGAAACTATTTGCAACAAAATTAAATTTGTCACTAAAAGATACAGCAATTGCAACAAAAGCATATTTGTCACCTTATATACCACAATTTGCAACAAAACTAGCTTAGTCACAAACATTAAAAGTCATGATTTATTTAATATTAAAGATATAGTTGTATGTTCTTAATATAACTCAAAGTTAAAAACTTTGAATAAATAAAATAGGAAAGTCAATAGACTTCACTTTGAGAACATTTCAAATTAAGTCTACATATGTGCCGCTAAAAAAAAGGATATTGCTAACAATAAGCAATTTTGTAGCACAAAGTATACATTTGCTTTCACCTGGAGAAATCTCTGCAAAGTGTAATATTTCTAAACACAATCTTGTGGCCACATATAAAATTGAGGGTTGTACTAGAGAGTAATTGTACAGATCATCGAGGGAAATGAGGTTGAAACCGAAAGTTAACGAGTCATCTTAATGGAAACCCAACCTAATTGACTGGAGATCCCAAGATATAGGTTCAAAGGGACAACAGAAATTCTGAATGACTCACCAGATGCACTAGGAAGATATAAATTTTCTGCCCATTTCTATAATGAGACAGTGTTACCTACAACGAAGATTAGGATAAGTTACGCTTTTAATGACTCTTATACCTTGAAAATTCAAGTGGGGTATGGTAGGATACTCTTAATAAGAAGTCACATATATATATGTGAAGTGGGGCCACTTTATGAGAACTATAAAGGCTAAGTTTTCTAGTGCATTCATGAATACCAAGAGTTGTTCAGGGCAAAATGAACACAACAATGAGAACAAACTCTGTGAGGAAAGATACTGTGTGTTTGCTATTGTCTTGGTTTACACAAACGGCTAAACAGTTCAAGACATCACGTTCACTGGTTAGCCAGTAAATCTGATAGTAATACACTAGGGAAATCTGATAGCCCTATCCTGATGCAGTAACTTTCCGTCTATACTCTTTCTAGTGTCTGCATAATCATTTTCTACATTTAAGCAGCCAATTTCCATTCATATGGGGAATTGTTAGAATATGTGAATGAAACTTGCCTGCACGTGCATATGGCTTTGGTTATCTGTCTATCACGTTAGACTATAACGTGAATGTCAGTGATTGCAATGTGAATATATTAAATAAAGAATTTTTGTACAGTGGTATTGGGTTAATGTATTTTTAATTGGAAATTCGACCATTCTGTAACGCGACCAGAGCTTTTGCGAAGTGGTGTGTAATCCATCAACCATTGACTTCTGGTTATTCACGGCAAGAGGTTCCGGAACACAAGACGTGACTGTTGGAATGAACTAATCTGGGAAGTTACGATGAATGGTTGTATTAGTTGGGTGAAGAGACACACCCAAATCAAGAGACGCCATATTGTCTATAAATACTTACCACATATGCCATTTACAAAATGTTCAATTCTTTAATCTCTTCTTCCCCTCTTTAGATTTGAACCAAACACGTACATGTGGGTTTAAGCCATGGTCAAGTGGTCTGAGCCATTTAGGCCCAAAATCAATTTCATTGAGCCATATTAAATTTGATCCGAGCCATTTGGTTCGGATTGCACCCAATTCATTTTTTATATAATATAAATGCATTTTTGAGTCAGAGATAGTATTACACAGAGGAGGTTCGTCGTATCCATGAGTTTGTAGTGCTGCTACTAGTGGATGTAGATCATTGTATTCTGAGAGGTAGACGCCACTGAGTCCGTTAGCATCATAGCGGGGCGAATCTGTCTTAAGAATATAGTATCCAATATTAGCCTCGGTTCAAGTTCTTTATTTTAATTATTATTTTATTGCTTTAATTTGCATGTTTAAATTAAATATCTAATTATATATTTAATTAATTATTTTAGCATATTATAAATATCTTATGATATATTACTATAAGGCTAATTATATCTTAAATGTCATTTGAAGCATATATTTTTACAGCACGTATCACAACCACTCTCGTTATAAAAGGTTTACATCATAACCATTATCACAACCACCCTTATTATAGAAGGATTAAATCATAACCATTAATATAGGCGAAGTAGTTAGGATTTGAGAAAGTGACATTGATATCTTTAGCCAAATTAACCAATAAGTCACTATATTTTTTGTGGAACTGGAACATCTTCGCTTAGATTCTCATAATCTATATATAGTAAATTTCGCAATGGCTGAGTCGCGTTTCTCAAAAAACTGTATGGTGATATTATAGTTCTTGTAGTGCTCGAGGACAATATATAGGCGTAGTAGTTAGGATTTGAGAAAGTGACATTGATATCTTTAGCCAAATTAACCAAAAAGTCAATATATTTCTGTGGAACTGGAACATCTTCGCTTAGATTCTCATAATCTATATATAGTAAATTTCGCAATGGCTGACTTGGCCTTCTCAAAAAACTGTATGGTGATATTATAGTTCTTGTACTGCTCGAAGACATGTCCTTCCACTGCGCGCCTTCAACGACAGTGTTTTGTTCCCTTGTACATTACCACAAAAAGAAAATTAAACCAATAATGCAGAAAAAAATAAACAAATGAAGGGAAAATTTTAATTTGTGTTTTTTAATTGGTAGTTCAATGTTATTTATACTCTTAGCATTTTGGAATCATTATTCAATCAAATTGTTTGCCAATCACCAGTGAGCAGTGGAATTTATTCTATATATCTATAAATAAAATTAAAAAAAACATCCATTGTAGTCCAATCTCTCTGTGAAAACCTTAGCAATTAATGTTACCACAGACAAACCAGGAACAAATCAAGAAAATTGAAAAAAAAGTAAATACACACCACACAAAGAACATAAAAAATATTTACAAAAAATAAAAAATAAAAAAAAAATTAAATAAATAAATTAAGTGGTTCAACTTAAACTCTACGTCCACAATAAAGATCCGAGCAAAGATTCATCTTTCCCTCTCTAAATTTCAGCTTTCAATGTTCTTACTACAATCCAAATCCTTAACGGGTTGGGCTACAAGAGAGTCCTAAAATTAGGTCCATTTTTCTGGTCATGAAACAAAATTCGGGCTACAAATTCACAATTTGTATATTTAAAAAAAGAGTAATTATAGCGAGTCTCAGAGTCAGACACATCTAACTAGTTTTATATGAATAAGTGTTGATGTCATTATGACATAGCGATATTAATGACATCATCATGACATCAGTTCTTACTCATGTAAAAATACAGCCGATTATTGGACTCCAAATGACTATACTTAAAAAATTAAAAATCAATAAAATAAAATAAAAACACCCTGTCATGCTTGATTTTGTAACAAATTAATTAAGAACTTGTGGACATGAATTGAACCTAGAGGGTTAGTGTAGGTTTCCATAAATACCTGCAACATAAGTCCAGGTTCTGATGGAGCTTTCACTCCCACCAATCACCTTCATGTAACTCCACTTTTGGAATTCTTTCAGCACAAGCGTTTGACATAGTGTGCGCTTTACCTCCAAAGATATGGAACATTTCCTCAGCACTAGATTTATTGATCTCTACTTCAGCTTCCAACTTACCAACAAGAGACATGGCAATTGTTTTTTTTAAAAAAAAAGGCACACACAAACCAAGCTAACAAAAACACAAAAAAAAATAGTATGCACTTGTTAAAGAATATAGGCCTTGCCGAGCTATCATGGTAATTCTACAGTCTTTCTTTCGAGAAATTATTAGATGATCTAAATTATTGACACTTGATTTTCCAATCCAATTCACACTCTAAAAAAAAAAAAACACTTTTTGAGCAATAATTTTGATAGGACTGAGCCACCAAACGACAACTCTATCTAGAAAAATTAAAGCTCATTTGCATCAATATCTTTGCTTTAAATTGCAGGCATGGGATGATTCATCTCAATTTATTTCACCATTTAATCATTGAACTAGACAGTGTTAGTGGTTCACATACACATATCCCTTCTCTTGAATTATTAAAAGCCTACCTGGTGTTTGGTTGTGGTCCGTAAGAATTCCTTTCAAAATCCCATTATGTGCTATCCACATTATATCTATGGCTTTAAATTTGTTGTTATGAACCTATCCATATTATATGGTTGCTACACAATCTTTTATACTCATTCATTGAGGCCTAACATTTTCTTTGTTGACACTGTTGTTGGATAACTCAGATTTGGGTGTAGAAATAATTTATGTGATACACTAATATTATATTCTTCATTTCGTTATAAGTAGTACAGATCATAGTGGGAGAAAGGGAATTAGACTATGGACAACGGAAGCTATGAAATGTTCACAAGGAACAAGAACAATTTTAAATATACCAAGTTGAAAAAATTAGTAAGGAATTCTTATATATAATTAATAAATTGTATGATTATTTTCTGCCTTTGCAGTACATATATTTATAATAAATAAGCAACTTGATTACTAAAAAATTTAAAAGCTTAAAAGGAAACTAATCCTAAGAAAATAAAAAACACAAGGAATTAACCTCATGCTATAAGGAAATTAAAAGTATAAGAAAATTACCTATAATAAAACTCTCCCTTAAAAATTATAAAAATAAAGTTAATAATAAAACCTAATTAATAAAAATTATTAAACCTGTCCTACATCAACTACCGGCCTCCCTTGTGGGGTTTTCTTGTTATAAATTTTCAAATGTGGATTTGATAAATTTTCAAATGTTTTTTTTTTTTTTCTTAGAGCAAATATATCGGTCTCACAACAAACGTACCATTCAAATTAGGAGTGCGATTTGAAAGCCAAACCTCAAAAACTTACCTCCCGATCCTTGTAAACGATGTTATGCCCATGAGGGCTTGAAATGTTAAATTTGATTTGTGGGTTCTTCATGTAATAAATCTTTAAGTATTGATTTGATTTGTTGTTTTGGTTGATATATTTTATTTTTTGATTGTGTTGGTCGATTAAAATTCATTTTAATCTCATTTTATGATATCCCCACAAAGGGGAAATGATTATTATTTGCTATTGTTTTATGGTAGATTAACTGGTTACATGTGAGAAACAAAGAAACATAATTTTTTTCTCTAATGCTTTGTTCATGCGTCCTGATTGATATACTTGTTGGAATTGATTTCCCTCTCATTTAAACATGGGAGCTGTTATTGGCATTCCAATTTTATCTTTGACACTCCATGATAAAGTTTAATCACTAAAATATTATTCCCCTCCAAATTCTACCGGCCTTTTGAGAGTGAGATTGAATGGGTGCAAATTTATAAAGTGGAGCACTCAAATATAAAAGTGGAGTGCAAATAACAACTCGTTCAAAAATAACCTCGATTCATGTTTATTTCAAAATATTATTTGACCAATAAATGAAAAATTAAGTTAGATCATTTAATATTTAAACTAAAATGTAATAAATACGAAACTTATGGAAAGTAGGTATGCCCCAGGTGATGCTCCCACTCAAACCATATGTTGGACATTGGGTGGCAATTTGGCCATCAGAGAAAATGTTAGGTCCTATGCAAGGCAACTTAGGACATCACAATCCACACAAATAATAATGCCTCTTTTGAAGCATGGGTCATTCAAATCTTCTAATATGTACTTCACGTAATTTTTTATTTTTCTTTCTTCTAAATCATAGAGTAATGTTACGATAAGGTCACCTCCAGGGCGTAGGGATTCGGGAGCTAAATTCTTGAGGTCTCACTTTTGAACCGTACTCCTGACATGAATGATACGTGTGTTATATGACCGACACACATGCTCTAAAAATAAAAAAAATAAAAAAAAAATAATGTTATGAGGGGGTCTCCAAAATAGTTGTCGTGAGTTCTTCTTCAAATTAGCACAATTTGAGCACAAAAAATTTAAAATTTTTTAATATATTTTTTATTTTTTTTAGTTAATTCGGAATGTCCGGGAAGACACGAATCATTAGGACCCCTCAACAACCTGACTGATCCCTGAGGACCCGGAAGGGCGCTTCCCCACCCAGGTCGGGTAAGTCACTGCAAGGACAGCGAATGCTAGCCACAAAGAACACCCAACAGGACTGGAACCCAAACTTTAGACTTGCTAAATATCAAAGTTCAGTAAACTGCTGGACCATAAAATAATAATAATAATAATAAATAAAAATTAATATTACAGAAGTCACTGAAAGAAATCAAATCTAAATACCATAGGTTGAAGTGTGCATGGGCAAGTCCTGAAAACCAAATTTGGATTACATTAATTGCCTGAAAACCAAATTTGGATTACATTAATTGCCAACACTGGAAGCTTTTTTCAAGCTCTTATTGTAAAAGAAACACTCCATAACCATTACAACCGTAGTATAATACAGAATATCACAAGTCACAACCACACTTATTTATAAAAAAGGTTTACATCATAACCATTAATATAGACATAGTGGCTTAGGATTTGAGAAGGTGAGCATCGACGTCTTTAGCCACATTAACTAGGAATTCAATATATTTCTGTGGAACTGGAACATCTTCACTTAGCCTCTCATAATGTATGGTAAATTTCGCAATGGCCGACTCGCCCTTCTCGTAAACATGCAAGTTGACCGTATAGTTCTTGTACTGCTCCAAGACATGTCCTTCCACTGCCTTTGCCGACATTTTTTTGTTTCCTTCGTCTATTGTCAGCTCCTCCTTATAGGTCTCCTCCTTCCCTTCTGCAATGCCCACAAAAACAAAATCAAACCAATAATGCTGAAAAACAAAAATAAATAAAGGGAAAATTTTAATTTGTGTTTTTAAATTGGTAGTTCAATGTTAATTATACACCCTTTTTTTTCTCCTACCTTTCAAAGAAAAAAAAATTTGTTTGTCACCAGTAATGAGCAGTGGTGTAGTGAAATTTATTCTATGAAAAGAAACATCCATTGTATTCAAATCTCTCTCTGTGAAAATCTTAGAAATTGATGTTACCACAAACAACACGAATCAAGAATAAATCAAGAAATTGAAAGAAAAGTAAACACATATATACCACAGAATACAAAAACCTACGTCTACAGTAAAAATTTTGCAAGAAATTTATTACAAGTTTCAGTTCCAAAGTTCCAAACCCTCCCTCCTACTCTAAACTGCAGCTTTCGGTGTTCTTTCTTACCACACTCCAGCTTTCAGTGTTCTTTCTCATCACACTCCAAACCCTAAATGTATTGTGTTACAGGAGAGTCCTAAAGTTGGGTCCATTTTTCTGATCACGAAATAAAAATTCGGACCACAATTTCACAGCTAAGATTATAAAAAATCTTGTCAAAGCATGATTTTGTAACAAATATATTAAGTAGAAGTTGAGGGCAAAAGTTGAATTGAACCTAGAGGGTTAGTGTTGGTTGCCATATATATATATATATACCTGCAACATAAGTCCAGGTTCGGATGGAGCCTTCGGTTCCCCAATCACCTTCATGTAACTCCACTTTTGGTATTCTTTAAGCACACGCATTTGACATAGTGTGTGCTTTACCTCCAAAGATATGGAACATCTCCTCAGCATTAGACTTGCTGATCTCTACTTCAGCCTCTAACTTACCAACAAGAGCCATAGCAATTGTTTTTTTTAAATAAAAAAAAAAAAATGACTCACTAACCCAACCAAGCACTTAACACTAAAACTAGGACACACTTGTTAAAGAATTGGCCTTACTATTGAGCCTTATATAGAGCTGTCATGATAAATTTATGCTTTTTCTTTGATGAAATTATTAAATTAATGGTTCTGAATTATTGATATTTATGGTCCAATTCAATTGAGACTCACCAATTAAAAAGAGTGAACTCGCAAAAATATATTAGAATATTACAAAAACACTTGAACATTAATTTCGATAGGACTGAGCCACCAAACGACAACTCTACCTATAAAAATTAACGTCTATTTGCATGCATCAATATATTTGCTTTAAATTGCATGCATGGGATGTTCCGTCTGAATTTATTTCACCATGCAATCATTCAACTAAACAGTACGTGTTGCAAGCTGACAGGTAGTGCTAGGTACTGGGCCTACCCTTGAATTATTAGAAGTCTACGTACCCGTTGTTGGTTGTGCTCCATACGAATTCTTTATTTATTTGCTTTCTTAGTTGGTACGTAAATTTCTGTACTGATGGTTGAATCTTTAATCTTCTTTTGAAAAGTAGAGATCTAGGTCTGATACTGCTACGGAAAATTATTATTATTTGCTATTGTTTTTATAGTTTCCAACAACTGGTTTCATGTGAAAAATTAAGAATCAGATTTTTTTCCTCTAATGGTTTGTTCACCATAATTGATATATTTGTTGGAATTAGTTCGCCTGTCAACTAAACATAACCTTGATTCATGTTTATTTCAAAACATAGTTTGACCACGAAATGAAAAGTTCGGTGAGATTATTTAAAATTCGAAGTAAAGATAATAAATACCAAACTTACAGAGGGTAGGTATGCCCCCAGTGATGCTTACAGAGGGTAGGATAAAGTAATGTTAGGATGAGGCAGGCCCCTCATAGTTGTAAGTTGTCATGGGTTCTCCTTCATGCTTTATTCAATAGAAAAGAAAAATTGTTTCACATATATATATATTGTAAAAGAAATACTTCGCAAGTATATATATATATATTACACATGTAGTATGATAGTAGTATCACAACGGCTCTTGTTACAGAAGGATTAGATCATATATAAGTTATAACCATTATATATAGTCCTAGAAGTAATTAATGACACCTCTATTTTATGATTTGAGGAAGTGAGCATCAATATCTTTAGCCAAATTAACTAGGAAGTCCATATATTTATGCGGAATTGGAACATCTTCCTTTAGTTTCTCATAATCTATGGTAAATTTCATAAAGGCTGACTCGTCCTTCTCAAAAACGTGTAAGGTGACCATATAGCTCTTGTACAGCTCCAAGACATGTCCTTCCAATGCCTTTGCCGATAGTGTTTTGTTTCCTTCATCTATTGTCAGCTTCTCCTTCATGGTCTTCTCCTTCCCTTCTACATTGCAACAAAACTAAAATCAAACCAAGATTAATGGTAAAAAAAAAAAAATTAAAAATAAATAAATAAGAGGATCGATCGGTATCTTAGGGTCATTGAGGACAAAAGTTGAATTGAACTAATTAAAGGGTTGGTGGATTATTATTATTATTATTTATTTATTATTTTTTTAAGGGTATGAAAGGGTTAGGGTTAGCATATATACCTAAAATATAAGTCCAGGCTTTGATGGAGCCTTCACTTTTGGTATTTTTCCTGCAGAGGCGTTTGGAATAGAGTGTACTTTGCCTCCAAAAATATGGAACATCTCCTCAGCATTGGACTTGTTGATCTCTACTTCAGCCTCTAAATTACCAACAAGAGCCATCACAAGCACTTCACACACAAAAAAAATATAAGAATTGGTCTTGCCATTGCCCTTTATACGGAGCTGTGATGGTAAATCTACTGTGCATTTCCTTTTTAGATAAAATAATGACAAGCCAAATGGCTTGCTAAGGTGAATTGGAATTACTATTTTATCCAGATTAATTGAAGTCCATGTATATCAATATGTTTGGAGTAAATTGCATGGTATGATTCATCCGAATTTATTTCACCATCCATCAATCGTTGCACTAGAGATGTTACATGTCCCTTCTTCTTCTTTTTTTCGGTAAATACATGTCCCTTCTTTTATTTTTTTTTATTCTTTATTTTTTAAAAAACTTCTTTTAAATGACTACTTTATCTAGAATAATTTTGAAGTCCATATATATCAATATGTTTGGTGTAAATTGCATGGTATGATTCATCCGAATTTATTCCATCATTCATCAATCGTTGCACTAGAGATGTTACATGTCCCTTCGTTTATTGACAATATAATACTGATAGCCTCTGGACACTTTTAATTGTTTAGAGATCTTCTCGTGATTGGTTGTGCTCCATACGATTTCCTTTCAAAATCCCATTTATGACTGCATATATATATACATATATATACATATATATGTTTTTATCCTGATAATATGAAAAATGGCTTTAATTAGATATAGAAGTCTTCCCTAGCTTGTGTGTTTTTCACGTTATATACTACGTATATGATAATTGTTTATTTGATTTTTTTGTTTTGGTTGATATGTTTTATTATAAATTTTGATTTGATTTGTTGGTTTTGTTGATATATTTTATTATAAATTTTGATTGTGTCAATCCAATTAAAAATATATATTTCATTTTATTGCATATCACGCAAAGGGGCCCGTAAGAATTATTATTTTCTATTGTTTTTTATCCTTTTCAACCACTGTTTCATGTTAAAGAGAGAGATTTTTCCTCTGACAATTTATTAACCTAATTGATTGATGTATTTGTTATAATTCTATTCATTTAAACCGCTTGATTAATATTTATTTCAAAATATAATTTGACCACTAAATAGAAAGTTAGGTAACATTATTTAATATCTTAAACAAAATATAATAAGAAAAATTATATAATTTCTAAGTGGCAAGCTGATCAAAATGGTAAAATAATATGAACAAAGTACAAGCCCAAAATGGCAAACAGGCCCAACAGCAGCCCAAAAAAGCTGATCAAATTGGTTGGCCAAGACATTTGCATCCATTGGATACAATTCCACTTCATGAATAAATACGAAACCGACAAGGGCCTTGGCCACAAAATGAAATAATGTTAGGTAAAAAATTTAAGGGTTAATTACAACGATACCATCTGAGATTTGACATAATGATAGCGATATATAAGTTGGGCCATTTTTAAATGATTACATCCCCCTTAGGTTTGATAAAGTTAACAAAGACACCTCAGTGGTCCTAAATTGACATTATTGCTCTTCACACATTTAATTACCAATTTATCCAATACAATAATTTTTTTATTGACCAAAATACCCTACCATAGCCACCACTACAACCACCACCCACTAGTCGTCACCACCGCTACCAGCCTACCACCAATACTGCCCACCCCTTCTTTCTCTCTTTCCACCCACCACTGCAACCTCTGCCACCACAACCAAAACCCATCTTGGCATAGACTTCTGGCTGCCTAATGGTCCCATTGTCAAACAACTTGAACTTAATGATATGGAAATTCTTCAACTGGACACCATGGCCACAGTTGATAGACTAATTTCCACAAATCATTGGTTAATTCCTTCCTCATTACAGCCCTTACAATTCTTTCAATCACAAACATTCATCAAGCAGCTGTATTATCTTCCTGCACCAACAGATGAACATAACACCATTGAGTGGCTTCCATGTCCCTCAGAAGGATACTCATTCACCCTTATTATATCCTATTTCAGCCCTTTATCACCCACATTTGGTTGGAATCATCTCCTATGGTTTAAACACCATATACCAAAGCACAGCTACATATCTTGGCTAGCTATAAGGGGTAGACTTTACACCTTTGACTCCAAATCAATGCTCAACCAACACTATATCAATAGATGTTATCCTTGGATCATTTGTTCTTTAAATGCTCTTACAGCTTACACATTTGGAATTTTATTCAGAGCATTGCAGGTTTTTATATTCTTCCTAATAACTAGCCTAACTTGATACAATGGTGTTCAAACCATTGGAACTCTTCCAAGTTTATGACTCTCAAGCTTTTTTTGACTGATGTTATTTACTTTCTTTGGTAAGAGAGGAATGTTGCAGCCCCTTCTCAACATATAATTTCACAGCTTAAGTCAAGCACAAGGGCAAGACTTGCTACAATTAAGCTAAGAAGAGCCTCAGACTTGAGAATCATTTCAAATGAGCAAGATCCTTTCAATCTCTTTATCCAGCCTGCAACAGCTCATGTGGATATAACTGGTTATTATCTTGATTATTCTAGGCATTTTGTTGAAAGCCTCTGCGTAGGCATTTTGTTGTATGTTTGTTGTGGTATGTTTGATTGTTTATCCCTTGTTGTCCCTATTTGTATTGTGTCTCCCCCAACTTGGGGCTCAATGTACATTATTTCATATTTATACACAAGTTTACCTTTAACCCAAAAAAAAAAAAAAAAAAAAAAAAAAATGGAAGAAGAAGAAGCTAAACCTATCAATTGAAAACATGAAAAATCCACAAAAAATACCAATTGAACAGACACACAGATTTATAGATATATATCTAATTCTCAAACCCCAATCTCATTCACTTGAGAAAATGATGCCTAAACCCGAAACCCAACCTCTCCTAAACCTAACCTATCAATCCTCACCAAACTCGATGACCAGTGGCACAAAGGCGTGCTTTACACCACCATGTCCGAGCTCTGCGTTGAGGACGTCTCGATCGCCATCGCTATTGAAGAGAAGAAGTTGTTGGCCTTGATAAGTCTCGGAGGTTATTTCAACT